CCTGGAGTGCAGTGGCACGATCTCGGCTCACTGTAACCTCCGCCCACTGGCTTCAAGTGATTCTTTTGCCTCAGCCCCCCGAGTAGCTGGGATTACAGGTGCACACTACGACTCCTGGCTAATTTTTGTATTTTTAGTAGAGACAGAGTTTCTCCATGTTGAACAGGCTGGTGTCGAACTCCTGACCTCAGGTGATCCACGCACCTTGGCCTCCCAAAGTGTTGGGATTACAGTCGTGAGCCACTGCGCCGGCCATGGATTTTTTGGTTAACTTTTTTTTTTTCCCCCTCAAGCATCTGAGTTAATCCAGAATTATAGTGGGATCCTAGAAACTAGTCATAACATTTAAAAAAAAAAAAAAGTAATTTAAGATTCGGTAGGGAGCTGGTAAAATTATGTGAAACACAATGAACTGAAATTACCACATGACACTGGAAATGAAAGGAGGGGACATTCTGCAGTATTTCCAGCTACTAAGTGATGGCAACTTAACACTGGCTGTATGGTTCTCTTTAGTGTGCAGCCTGTGTTTTATTTTCGTGAACACTGTAACCAATGCTGATGAATGCCAATCCAAAAACCACTTCCAACTTTCTTCTCCCTTGTCCACCTCCTACGAGAGGAGTGGAAAAAACTAAAATTCTATTTTGCAACCAGTCTGTGTGACCCAATCCTGGTCTATGAGACACGTGGGGGTTTCTGTGGCAAGGAAGATTCTGGAAAATGTCTTTCTCCCTGATTTAAAGGAGAGAGAGACACATGAGAAGGGCCCTTTCACACCTCCCTCCCTTCATGATAGCACCCTCCTCTGGGTGCTATCATGTGAGGATGTGATGCCTGGAGAGGTGGCAGCACCCCTGAGATCAGATAAACCCCCAGCCTGAAGCTCAAAGATGACATATGTAGGAAGGTAAGAATGGAAAGATGAAAGGAGCTCCAATCCTTGTAGGCACTGTTGAGCTGCCAATCCAACCCTGAGGATCACCCATTTTAGACTTAAGAAACAGAAGTCCTTAGGTGTAAGCCACTGCTCATTTTATACTAACTGCAGTTGAGAGCATCATGGGATACAAATGTCAACAAAATATATGTAAGTGTTTTCATGGGGTCACTGTGTTGATTCTCCAGGCCTCCATCTTTTCCTCACAAAGTCTATAGTGTATTCAATTTTTTTTTTTTTTTTTTTTTTTTTTTGAGACAGAGTCTTACACTATTGCCTGGGCTGGAGTACAATGGCATAATTGGCTCACTGCAACCTCCACCTCCCGGGTTCAAGCGATTCTCCTGCCTCAGCCTCCTGAGTAGCTGGGATTACAGGCACCCACCACCATGCCTGGCTTATTTTTTGTATTTTTTTGGTAGAGACAGGGTTTCACTATGTTGGCCAGGCTGGTCTTGAACTCCTGACCGTGTGATCTGCCCACCTCGACCTCCCAAAGTGCTGGGATTACAGGCGTGAGCCACTGCACCTCACACAGATTATTGAGGTTAGAGAGCGACACTGCCTATTACACGCCCCTCAGAAGGCTGTGAGGTTCATGCACTCCATAAAATACTACACAAATGTAAACGACAAATAGTAACAAAATACTTCTGTGTTAGGAAACGACACTGACTTTCACGCCACAGGGGACAAGATGCTATGAAGCAACTGTGTCTTTTCCCCTGGGGGAATGAATGAGCCTGTTGAGCCTGAGGTGGCGGAGTAGGAAGTATTTTTAAAACCTTTGTTGTAAGACATTAACTGCAGAAATGCCACACTAAGCTGAAACTGGGAGTGCCGCTTCCTGGCTTTAACATTAAGCTGACCTGAACCTTCAGATCATGGAAACTAATCAGAGTTTACCGAAACATAGAGTATGTGAAAAAAAAATAAATTACTTTAAACTGAAAGGGCAAGTTGGGACCTTATAAAACACCTACATGTTTCAACTACTCCTTGGAGAAGGTGTTGCTTAAAAACACTTATCTGCATATTTGTGATATGTAAACAAAGACCAGAATTTCACTGATCTTTACTTAAGGATGCTGATGCTTACACCTTGGTGGCTGGCAGTGGCCACCCCAGCCGCTCTTCAGTGTCCCGAAGGCCACCCGCTTTGGGTCCTTGGCAAGAACCTCCTACAGAAGCTGCCGAATTAAGGTGGAGACAAGATGGGCAGCAGAACAACTGGTGAAGTTCTGCTGTGGAATGCCAGAGAGAAAGCTGTTTCTAGAAAATGCCTTTAAGATAATTTTCTTAAAGAGATCAGCCAGGCGTGGTGGCTCATGCCTGTAATCCCAGCACTTTGGGAGGCCTGGAGGTGAGATCACCTGAGGTCAGGAGTTTGAGACCAGCCTGGCCAACATGGTGAAACCCCTGTCTTTACTAAAAATACAAAAAAATTAGTTGGGCGTGGTGGCGGGCACTTGTAATCCCAGCTACTCAGGGGGCAGAGGCGGGAGAATCACTTAAATGCAGGAGGCGGAGGTTGCAGTCAAGCCATTCTACTCCAGCCTGGGTTTCAAAAGAAAAGAAAAAGAAATCATGGCTCTGAGTGGTGTCTCCTGCCTATAATCCCAGCACTTTAGGAGGCGGAGGTGGGTGGATGACTTGAGGTCAGGAGTTCATGACCAGTCTGGCCAAAATGGTGAAACCCCGTCTGTACTAAAAATACAAAAATTAGCCAGGCGTGGTGGCAGGCGCCTGTAATCCCAGCTACTTGGGAGACTGAGGCAGGAGAATTGCTCGAACCCGGGAGGCAGAGGTTACAGTGAGCTGGGATCGCAACACCTTACTCCAGCCTGGGCAACAAGAGTAAAAAATTCCATCTCAAAAAAAAGAAAGAAAGAAAAAGCAATAAAAAAATCAAGGCAAAGAAAAGGTTTTCAGTTTGTTCCCCTAACACTGATGTGAAATGGGGATCTAGGGGAGAAGTGGAAGGATGACTAAAATCTAACACATTGCCCACCATTTTTGAACTTGAAGGTTGAGTTTGGAAATCATTTACCGCCTTTGCCTACCTGATCTGCTGGTTGCCTTTGTGAAACTTTGCAGTTCCCCCTCAAGTCTAGTTTGACTCTAACTTTGGTACAAGATTTCTGGTTGGAGAAAATGAGATGTACCTGAAATTAATTTCCAGGCTACCATTCATTCATTCACTTTAGATGCAGGGTTTTGCTTTGTGGTCCAGGCTAGTCTCGAACGCCTGACCTCAAGTGATCTCCTGCCTTGGCCTCCCAAAGAGCTGGGATTACAGATGTGATCACCGATGTGAGCCACCTGCGTTTCATTTACCCCCTTTTCCGAGGTGTTCCTTTCCTTTCCTCCTGAGCAGGTATTCATTACACTGAAGATCAACCCGCACAGGCTGACCCAAGAAGAGCTCAATTTTTTGGAGGTGGGGAATTTGCTCAACAGGCCCTCAGGGAAAGGTAAAGTATGCGTCCCTCTGAGGACCCTTCTGCTTCCTGTGACCCCAGCTGCTTGCTTTAGATACTTCCTTCCCAAGCTTTTTCGGGGTGGAGCTCGCTACTTATTAAACTGTAAGGGGAGGTACTGGGTGTTTCCTGCAGACACACAGGCTCTCTGTGCTTGAAGAAGTAGGTCTGGGAGGATTATGCCCTCCAGAGAAAAAGCGAAGGTAAGAGGTGCAGAGGGGAGATCTCACAATGGGATTTTTTTGGTCGTTCCTGACCCAACATAAGCCAAAAAAGGATATTCTTGGCCAGGCACGGTGGCTCACGCCTGTAATTCCAGCACTTTGGGAAGCCAAGACGGGCAGATCACAAGGTCAGGAGATCAAGACCATCCTGGCTAACACAGTGAAACCCTGTCTCTACTAAAAATACAAAAAAATAGCCAGGCGAGGTAGCATGCGCCAGTAGTCCCAGCTACTTGGGAGGCTGAGGCAGGACAATGGCGTGAACCCAGGAAGTGGAGCTTACAGTGAGCCGAGATCGCGCCACTGTACTCCAGCCTGGGCAACAGAGCGAGACTCTGTCTAAAAAAAAAAAAAAAAAAAAAAAAAAAAAGACATTCCTTTTTGTTTTGCTCAAGCTAGCCTGATTAGGATATCCATGAATCCTTATAGCTATTTTTATTTTATTTTGAGACAGGGTCTGGTTCTGGTTCTGTCACCCAGGCTGGAGTGCACAACCACAGCTCACTGCAGCCTCTACCACCTGGGCTCAAGCCATCCTCCCACCTCAGCCTCCTGAGTAGCTAGGACTACAGGTGTATGCCACCACATCCAGCTAATTTTTCTATTTTCTGTAGAGACAGGGTTTCACCATGTTGGCCAGGCTGGTCTTGAACTCCAGGGCTCAAGTGACCCACTGCCTTGACCTCCCATACTACTGGGATTACAGACAAGGCCAACCGTGCCCGGCCAGGTATTTTTAAAAATTGTGTATTTCTCAGCCAGATGCGGTGGCTCATGCCTGTAGTAGCAGCACTTGGGAGGCTGAGGCAGGAGGATGGCTTCAGCTTAGAAGTTTGAGACCAGCCTGGGCAACATAGTGAGACACCATCTCTACAAAGAATAGAAGAAAATTAGCTGGGTGTGGTGGCGCATGCCCAGGGTCCCAGCTGCTCGGGTCCCAGGCTGAGGTGGGAGGATTGCTTGAGCCTGCCATGAGCAGTGACTGCACCACTGCACTCCATCCAGCCTAGGCAATGGAGTAGTATCTCATCTCAAAAAAAAAAAGAAAAAATTGTCTATTTCTAAAAAGCTGTGTTTAAACCTCATCATTTCCCCTCAAACAAGTAGCTTGTATAAAACTACTCATAACATGAACATGCTAAAGAAATTATTTTGAATAATGAAAATTTATTTTGTACATTATATTAAAATTTATTTTCTATGTATACCCAAATTTTCAAGTATTAGATTTACTTACAAATTCATCAGTGTTATCATTATACAATTGGCTGGAATTAACAGTTGCAATACAGTTATTCTAGCTTTTCATATTCAATTTGAATGATCAGGAAAGTGTATGAGTCACACAGAATTAAATATTTTAGATAATAAGAATCTTACACTTTATTAGATAATAAAACATAATTGAATATCTGCTTAAGTAACAAAACAGTTAAGAAACTGTTTGGGTTATAAGCGAAGGAATGTAAGTGTAAAATGTGTAGAAAGATAAATATTTTCCAAATAAAATTCTAATAAAAGGCTAAACATTCTCAAATGTTTTACATATATGAAGAATAAATTATTTCAGGTTAACATGTTTTTGCCTTAGTGCCAAAAAAGCCACAACCAATTTGATTAACTTAAAGTTTTCTAGACATGAATTCTATTATAACATCTCTATATTTGTTTAGAATTTTGCAAAATTCTTAGAAGATCACATGTTAGGGTGGGGGAAGATAATTGCTTGCCAATACTGACATGGTTAATTAACAGACAGGCTTGAAAGGAGGAGGCTAGAAAAGAAGAGGGAAGATTATGTCACTAAGCATAGCTACAAAGGGAAAAGCCACATGGAAGCAGAGACAAAGGCTATCCCGGCACACAGAGGCATGTTTGCTGTGGCTCAGGCTTTCTGTTTTTCAAGTGTTCAGAGACGAATTCCAGCAAGACTTCTGGTTTGAGTCAAGCCTTTCAACTGAGCTGCTTGGCATACTTAACGGAAAAAGTGAGTACATTCAGATTTAGTTTTGCTAGATATTAAGCTAGAAAACTGGATGACAGTAAAACCAATACAGAAACAAAAAGTTGTGTTTCCAGTAAAGAACCGTATCCACAAGCAGATTTTGCTTATTAATGCAGCAGGAGAGCATGGAAATCGGAGTTCAGACTCTTTAGAAAAGATAAAAGGCAGGGGAGGGGAGAGAAGAAAAGGGGGAATGCAGAGGAGCCCTCTAAGAATGACGAGTGATTCGTGCAGGAGAGGGAAATACAGACATTCTGTCCACATGAGGTGCTGCTTCAGGCATTGGACGTCGTTCCCTCCACCTGCACCTAGAAGGATATGTGTTCAGGATCTCGCTATGATTAGTTCCCACTGTGCTAGACATAGGTTGCTAGCTAGAAGTTTTGCCAGCCATCTTCCCTCTTCCTAGTGCTAATGCTTAATTTCCTAAAGTAATCTGAATCCTTATAAGGCAGGGTAGCTCAGGAGGTTCTATTTACTTATTTATTTTGAGACAGAGTCTTACTCTGTCGCCCAGGCAGATCTCATCTGCGTGCAAGTCTCGTTGCAGTGAGCGTTGCAGTGGTGCAATCTCGGCTCACTGCAACCTCTGCCTCCTGGGTTCACACGATTCTCCTGCCTCAGCCTCCCAAGTACCTGGGATTACAGGTGTGTGCCACCACGCCTGGCTAATTTTTGTATTTTTAGTAGAGAGAGGGTTTCATCATGTTGGCCAGGCTGGTCTCCAACTCCTGTCCTCAGGTGATCTGCCTCCCTTGGCCTCGCAAAGTGCTGGGATTATAAGCATGAGCCACCGCGCCCAGGCTCAGGAAGTGTTAATATTACGTCCAGTCGGCTCACAGATGCTTGAGCCAGAAGTGGGAAGGGTACACTTGTATTTTGGGCTCAAATGGTTTTCAAATAGAATACATTTGACCAAATAAAGTGAAAACAGTCCTGAACCCTCCTCACTCCAGATATGCATGCAATCCACACCATCAAAAGAAGAGTTCACTGTTCCCAAGGCCAAAAAGAGGCTATGCTGTACTGCAGAGAACTCTACAGGAAAATCGAACACCCAAATTAAGTGCCAGAATGATACTGCCCGCTATCATGAGGAAGAATGACATGTGAGAAAACTTTTAGCAGACGCAAAACTGTCACCCCACCATATGTTATTTTAAAAATGTTTTATCAGGAGACAAGGACACTTCAGTTTTTAACCTACACAAGGTTAGGTAACGTTTACCTTGATACACAATTGCATATGGCCCTTTATGCCACTCACCTAGGCCTTGGATAATGAGGGCAATTGCTAAGCGTGCAGTCTCTTCTGGGGGCTTTTCTCTGAAAGGGGGATAATATATTGATAACATATTTTATTGATCAGTTAAGAATTTTTGATCTACTTGGAAAAGACTAAATTATAATATTTCACTTTGAAACTGCTACTGCTCTTGCAAAAGTACTTGATTTTCATATCATATGGAGCTCAGAATCTTTGGACTACACAAACATTCTCTAAAAGGGCAATGATTTATATTTTCCAAAGTTTAGACATGACATCCAAAGGACAAAAGGTAACTACTTTTTTACCAATGTGATTGGAACAGTGACAACGGGTAATGTCTTCACCAAACTGATCAAAAAATCTGCCTGTGGCTCCTCCACTGTACCTGTGTGCATATGTGTGTATGCAGAGAAAGGCAGAAAAGGTTCTATCAATGTCATTGTCTCCAAAATGCTTATTCTTGCCCATGTGCCAGTAATTTGAATGAGAACGGGCCAGGCGCAGTGGCTCATGCCTGTGATCCCAGCACTTTGGGAGGCCAAGGCGGGCGAATCACAAGGTCAGGAGTTAGAGACCAGCCTGACCAACATGGTGAAACCTCATCTCTACTAAAAATACAAAAATTAGCCAGGCGTGGTGGGCACCTGTAATCCCAGCTACTCAGAAGGCTGAGGCAGGAGAATCGCTTGAACCCGGGAAGCGGAGGTTGCAGTGAGCAGAGATCACAACAATGCACTCCAGCCCTGCGACAGTGCAAGACTCCATCTCAAAAAAAAAAAAAAAAAAAAAAAGAGAATGTGCTTTTCCAGAATAACCCCAGTTGTATCTAGAATTTGTTTTCAATATAAAGGTAAGGTAGGTGTGAGAATGTTTTTAACAACAGAATTAGTCAATCTAGATTAGGATGCTGTGTGGCATGACCATTCTCAAATTTTGAAAGCCTGAGCTGGTTGTGGGTAAGGGAATATTCATTAATGACATAAATTTCATTTATGAAATATGTATCCATCATCTAGGTATCTTACACATGGAGAGCTGAGTGCATCCCTTGTATAAAAAGTAAATGAAGACCAGAAGGAAGCAGACTCTGTCCTACAAACTGAAGCAGAGTTCCGTGCTAAGAATCAGCCGGTTTTCTAGGGAGGTAGTAACACCAGTGCAGTATTATTACAGTTCGCAGACCATGAAGGAAAGAGGTGGAGAAGAGGGAGGGAGGAGGGAAAATCTTGCATTATAAGAGGTAAAAGAGTCCCCATTACAATTGCAATGCTTCATTAGACAGCTGATTTTTCTGGCTGGAAGGCACATTAAAAATAACCCTAACAATAACTTACCAAGACAATGGAAATTAAAAGAAAAGAAGGTAGAGGTACAGCTGTCTTATTAACATAACAACCACCTACAGCTGAAACAATACTCTGGTACAGGGACTACCTCATGTTAGAGACTGGGTTTAGCTTCAGTGATTTTCCAGCACTTATTAAAGCCACTGTACCCTGAACATGGAGACCCTCAAATCCTCTATATGCCAAAGATTTAAGTTGTAGAGAATGACACCAATGTTTGCTGTTGGTGTGAACCACAGGCAACACCAAGCTCCCTGGTCTGGCTGAGTGGAGTCTTCCATGCACTGTGTGCTGCTCAGTTAGAAAGTCAACTAAGCGGAAAGGAGATAAGGAATAGCTATGGAATACCTGACTTCTTTATCTTGGTTAAGTGTCCATAATTCACTGTAGCCTCTGCCTCCTGGGCTCAAGTGATTCTCCTGCCTTAGCCTCCCAAGTAGCTGGGATTACAGGGGCGTGCCACCACACCCAGCTAATTTTTGTATTTTTAGTAGAGACGGGTTTCACCATGTTGGCCAGGCTGGTCTTGAACTCCTGACCTCAGGTGATCCACTCGCCTCGGCCTCCCAAAGTGCTGGGATTACAGGCGTAAGCCATCGTGCCTGGCCAACAATCTGGTATTCTTAAGGCAAAACAGTAGAAATCTCTTTAAATAGACACTTTATTAGATCCACAGGCGATAAAATCCCAGAGCTACTGTTAGGCATGTAAATATAGACCCTGTAAGAAAAAAACAATTGAGAGTACTATTAGTTCTATTAAGTTACTTGAGGGAACATCTTTTTTTAAGAAAACACACACTTATTCACTTATTTACTAAGAAAACCTAGAAACTTAGATTGCTCACTGATGTGCCATATTCCGTGAAACACCTGCCTATTGAAAAAACAAATCCCATACCCCTTATTTTATTTTCTTGTTTTAGAGACACGGTCTCATCTGGCACCCAGGAAGAGTGTACCATGAAATGGTGTGATTACAGCTCACTGCGCCTCAAACTCCTGGGCTCAAGCGATCCTCCTGCCTCAGCCTCCCAAGAAGCTGAAGCTACAGGCGGATGACACCATGCCTGGCTACATTGTTTTGTAGAGACTAGGTCTCACTGGGCTGCCTAGGCTAAGAAAACTTTTCAATAAACGTTTCGAATCACAAAAATTCTGTGGTCACAAGGTCTATGTATATGCACTATATAGACAGGGACACACAATTTAATATAAAGAACAACACTTCACTGTTAAATACTGCTGTGACCTTAAAATATTTCATTAATCCAAGATGCTAAATCTGACTTGAAATAATGGTTAATTTGGGTGCAGGGGTGGTACATGAATGTTCATTCTCTCTTTTGGATCAAAAATCTTGAAAGTAAAGTAACTCCTTAAAAGGAGTGTCGCCAATTGAAGCAGAAAGATTACAACTGAAACACCTTCCATTTTATCCATAAAATATTTCCTGTCTTGAATCTCATTAAAATCCCTAATAACTATACTTCGATTACAGTATCTTATCAAATTTCCAATTCTATCAATTATAAAATACACAATTACTTTACTACTAAGAAAGAAAAAGTGCCAATTAAAGTACGATACTTCATCTACTGGAAACTGTAAGATGCTTTCCAATTTCAGAGATGTTAAAATATTTCAGAAAGTGTTGGAATCAATGAAACGCAGTATCTGTCAATGACTTATTTTATAAATTTATTTTCTTTTCCGGTTGATTTAAATAGATATAAAATAGCTTACCTGCTAAATATTTAATATTATCAAGCTTGTGTGACTCAAGCATGGTTTTGAGGCCAGCAACCTCAGTTTCAATCTTCCTATCTGTCTGGGTAAGGGCCCGATCTTGCTGGGCATGCTTTTAAAATGAAGAGAGTCATAGCGTTAGACCACAGCATGTCCCCTCTGTTCACCATCCTATAGCTCATTCCCAATGGGGCATAGTCACAGGGAAACCTGGGTAAGACTACGGAGGCCTGGGCTTTAGTCTCAGTGTGAAGATCCTAATGCTACGCTGCATTGGTCAGGACCCTTAACCTCTCTAGGCCTTAGTTTTCTTCTATTTGAAAAAATGAAAACAGAACAAAATGAAACAACCAAACCAGTGGCCCTGCCTTTACCTGGACTGTTTAGAGAATCAAATGCGATAATCTATGTGAAAAAGCATTTGTAAGCTCTAGGTTGCTATATAAATGGTGTGGCATTATGAGGCCAGTCTGTTCTCAAAGGCAACAGCTACGTCTCATCCTTCTAAATCCTCCTCAGTCAAAGATATAAACTCAAAAATGTTTTCAAGAAATGGAGTCTTAGATAATGTAAAAGCAGCAGTGCTTGTCTTGAGCTATTTCTAGTCATATTTTTAAAAAACTTTCTTCTTTCATGTTCAAATATCAAGTGTTTCATTATTATGAGGCTTGGCTACCCAGGGCCAATTTGTGTCCTTCCCCAAATACAATACAGTTAAACTGGATACATAATCAACCCTCAAAAAGGCAGTGGGTTTGGCTGACCTTATAGGGGGTTGTATAACTGCATTAATGCATAAAAACCGTGGGAATACTTCACTAAAATTCCTAGAGCAACGGAATCTACCAATTCAGGCAGAGAAAGAAAGAGAGAAATGCCTGGATGAGTAGAAAATTATTCCAGAGAAATATCCCAAGATTCTGGAATTCTCTCATGAAAGCCTCTTGGGTGTTTCAGAGGCCCCAGGTTCCATACAGTATGGAAAAGGAGTAATGTATGCTATAAATTAAAAATAGAATAAGACTTCTCTATTCCTCACTATTCTTCAATTAGTGAGATTTAAACTTTCTTAGTAAAACTTTCGTTCAGAAAAACAAACTTTCAAGCAGGCTGTGGTGGTGCGCACCTGTGGTCCCAGCTACTCTAGAGGCTGAGGTGAAGGAGGGTGCAGTGGAGCTGAGATTGCACCGCTGCACTCCAGCCGGGGTGACAGAGCGAGACCCCATCTCAAAAAAAAAAAAAAAAAAAAGAAAAGAAAAGAAAAGGAAACTTTCATTAAGAAAGTTAAATCTTTCATAGGATAACTATCTTCCATTAAGATAACCAAATATTTTGTGAAGTGCAAAAAAATCCTGTGGCATTCTACTTCTGCATATATACCCAAAAGAACTGAAAGCAGAGGTCCCAACAGACATCTGTGCACCCATGCCCACTGCAGCACTATTCACAAAAGTCAACAGGTGAAAGCAACACAAGTGCCCTTGACAGACGAATAAAGAAAATGTGGTATATACATATAATGGAATACCAATCAGCATTAAAAAGGAAGAAAGTCCTGTCATTGCAACAACATGGATGAACCTTCAGGACGTCGTGTTAAGTGAAATAAGCCAGCCACAAAAAGACAAACACTATGGTTCTATTTATATGAGGTATGTAGAATAGTCAAATTCATAGACAGTAGAAAGGAGGTTGCCAGGGGTTGGAAAAGGGAATGTATAAAGGGTGCAGAGTTTCAATTTTGCAAAATAAAGAGTTCTGTGATAGACAGTGGCGATGGTTGCCCCAAAATGTGAATGTACTTAATACCACTGAACTGTACACTTAAAAATGGTTAAGATCATAATTTTTATGTTGTGTGTATTTTAGCACAATGTAAAAAACTCCCATGACAGTAAACCTGCATATAAGTTACTATTATCATTACAAACAGCCATGCATGGGATGAAGCAAAGATGAATACAATGATAAAGAAAAATCAAAGTCTCATTTCTTACCAATGCCACTATTTCTGTTCGCAATTCCAGCAGCTTCTTTTCGTTCAATGAATACTGAAATAAACACGTAACATGGGTCAGATTCTGATCTACTCCTCTCTCTTCTCCTTCTCTGGTGCCTTAAATATTCTGGTCTCAGTAACTCCTAGAATATGTTAACACCGGAAAGTCAACTCTGGGATGAAGTAGCCTACCTGCTTCTTTATATCTGTTATTTGAAGTTTCTTTTTGTTTTTTTTCCATAGAGATGGGGTTTTGCCATATTGCCCAGGCTGGTCTCAAACTTCCGAGCTCGAGTAATCTGCCCACCTCAGCCTCCCAAAGTGCTGGGATGACAGGCAGGACCTACCATGCTGGCTAAAGTTTCTTATGTATACTTACTCATTCCTCCAATATCTGGATTTCCTTAGTCACCTATCACTTCTCCCTGCATCTTTCCTGTGATGGCTTTAGGTCCCTCCCACTGTTGTAGCAGCACTCTCTGGGGACCAATTTCCACGGATGCTGAGTCATATGGTTTTTGGTTTTAAGAGGGTTGAAAATGGAGACTCAACTCAATTTAGGAGCTATCCCATCATAACTAGTAGCAAAACAAGTCACTACTTGAGTCTCAACAAAAGACAGGAAAAGTATGAAGTTGGGGAAAAAACAGCGTCAAGGATTATTATTCTATGATAAAGACATTGTGCTGTGATTATAAAACACAATGTAAATAACATAAATACACTAACTCACCACATGTTGGGTTTTTTTGCTTTGTTTTTTTGTTTTGAGATGGAGTCTCAGTCTATTGCCCAGGCTAGAGTGCAGTGGCTTGATCTCGGCTCCCTGCAACCTCTGCCTCCCAGGTTCAAGCAATTCTGCCTTAGCCTCCTGCACATGTCGGTTTTAATAACAATAAAAAAACCCACTTGGGCATAGTCGTAATCCAGTGTTACTAAAGGAACTAATTCTACCCAGAGTTAAAGTATCTCACCTTTGGTTATTAATGTCAGTGAAAAGATTTACTGCAGTTTTGGAGACAATAAGATTGAAATCAGACTTATCTCCTTAGGAGTGGGCAACAGGATTTAACTGAGCAAATGACAATGAGTAACTTAAATGAAGACTTTTAAGACCTACATTAACCTTGTTATACAGAGAAAAAGTTAATGCTTTGAAATATATAGAAACTTTCTAGCTGTAAAATGTTCTCCTGGGACTACTGGGAACTTAGAAGTAAAAAAAAAAAAAAATAAGAGAGAGAGAGAGAGAGAAAAACAAAAAACCCCAAAACCCTAAGCCAAGGAGTAGGTTGTAAAACCAAGAACAAGGCTCTTTAAACCTCAGGGTTTCAGACCAGGAGAGCACTATGCATCAGATCACCACTAGAGGGCGGCGTGGAACAAGATTTTGTGCATCACTAAACCTGTCTTCATTAACTCAACATCGACTCACCCACAAAAGCGAAGCCTAAATCTTGATGCTGCCATGGTTTTAAAAATAACATCTATGTAGCTATATATCCCCATGCCCAAAAACTTTATATGACATACTGCTTTTGGAACTGGCTGTAAATATCATAGTTAATTTTCAATTTAATATTTAACATTATAACTTTACCAAAAGAATGAGCCAAAAAACTCATCTTCACCAATGCATGTAACAAACACACTCGCTTCATAATTTACTACTACCTTGTGCTTCAGAGTAATCTAAGTTTTTGATTACCAAGAACAACCTCCCAGTTAGGGTACTAAATCACATAAATTCACTGGCTTGATGGGAACTAAGCTATGAGGATGCAAAGGCAAAAGGATGATACAGTGGACTTTGAGGACTGGGGGGAAAGGGTGGGAGGTGGGTGAGGGGCAAAAGACTACACACTGGGTACAGTGTACAATGCTAGGGTGATGGGGCCACCAAAATCTCAGAAATCACCTCTAAATAACTTCTTCATGTAACCAAACACCACCTATTCCCCCAAAACCTATTGAAATTAAAATGATAATAATGAAACACTAAAAAAAGACTGTAAGAACAATTCATAGTCACCGTTACTGTTCAAATATACCACGAAGACACTTTTGTGTCATGTAGAAAAAGTTACTGTCGTGATGGATACGATTTAATTGAAACTCTGTGCATTGGTTGCTTCCTGGAGATTAAGGTCAACATCGTCATTCCAGATAAAATAATTACATGTAAATTATATTTATCAGCATAGTTAACTAGTAAATTCAAGTAAAATAAAATCAGGTTAAGTATTTTGAGTGCTGTATTATCAAATCTGCAAAATATTGTAAGCTTTACTTTTCTTATAAGAACACTGAATGGATCCACTCTATATATCCAATAATTTAAAAATATGAGTATTTGCAAAATGAAATTTCTTTTTTTTTTTTTTTTGAGACAGGGTCTTGCTCTATCACCCAGGCTGGAGTGCGGTGGTATGATCTCGGCTCACTGCAATCTCTGCCTCCCGGGTTCGAATGATTCTTCTGCCTCAGTCTCCCACGTAGCTGAGACTACAGGCAACTGCCATCAAGCCAGGCTAATTTTTGTATTTTTGGTAAAGACAGGATTTCACCACGTTGGCCAGACTGGCCTCGAATTCCTGACCTCAGGTGATCCACCCACCTTGGCCGCCCAAAGTGCTGGGATTACAGGTGTGAGCCACCATGCCCGGCAGAAATTTTTTCATTTTGGTTAAAAGACAAAAACTATAATTGTGAAAAAATTTTCTGGAAAATTTTTGTTTGCTGGATGATGTCATGGACTTAAAATGAGTAAAACCTAAATGTTACATGATTGAAAAATGTACATATGTATCAGCCTAGTTATGTTATTAAAATGACTCCACATAAAATTTTTTTAAAATTCACTGGCTTTCATCTACATTCATGCCCTGTATTTCCTGATGTCCTTGATGTAGTTTTTCCCAGGTTGGTTAGCTACATGCAGTCATTTTCCTACATCAAGTGAATTTGGTTTTTCTTGAGTACACAACCCATAAAAACAAAGATAATCAAACGAGTTTCTCCTCTTCTGGACACCAGTGACATGCTATAGCCATTAACTATTTTAGTAATACTAGGTGATTTAATCTTTATGGGTGGAGACTGTTGTTGTAAGACTAGAAAGACAGGTAACACAGCCTTAATAACTGTTTTGTATAACAAAGCTCGGATTAACTCTTGAAATCCAGTGGCAGTTCCAAAATACAAGTAGGTTACTTAAGTTTCAGTATTGCTTCATTTATTATTACAGCACATTTTAATTAAAAGCAAATTGTCAAAAATGTGAAGACAACAAACAGTTGTGAGTACTCAGTTTCTGCATGTGTATTCAGTTTTGTGTTGGTGCAAGATGCTCTCTCTGTCCTATTTCTCATTATGCTGAGAATAAAAAAGGCACCCGATGTTACCAAATTCAAATAAAGTCCGAGCAAAAAGACAGCTAAAGATTTTCAGACAGGGTTAAACATCACTAGAGGCAACCTGACACATATCTTTATCAAAACACCCTTAGGCCGGGCGCAGTGGCTCACTCCAGTAATCCCAGCACTTTGGGACGACAACGTGGGCAGATCACTTGAGGTTAGGAGTTTGAGACCAGCCTGGCCAACACAGTGAAACCCTGTCTCTACTAAAAATCTAAGAACTAGCCGGGCGGGGTGGTGGTGCCTGTAATCCCAGCTACTCGGGAGGCCGAGGCAGGAGAATTGCCTGAATCCAGGAGACAGAGGCTTCAGTGGGCTGACATGGTGCCACTGCACTCCAGCCTTGGCAACAGAGTAAGACTCCGTCTCAAAAACACCAAAAACAAAACAAAACAAAATACCCTCACGAACTTCTCACTGCATTTAAAATACACCATAGAAATTTTTTTTTTTGAGACTGAGTTTTGCTCTTGTCGCCCAGGCTAGAGAGCAGTGGTATGATTTCAGCTCACTGCAACCTCTGCTTCCTGAATCAAGAGATTCTCCTGCCTCAGCCTCCTGAGTAGCTGGGATTACAGGTGCACGCCACCATGCCCGGCTAATTTTTTGTATTTTTAGTAGAGACAGGGTTTCACCATGTTGGGCAGGCAGGCTGGTCTCGAACTCCTGACCTCAGGTAATCTGCCCATCTTGGCCTCCCAAAGTGCTGGGATTACAGGCGTGAGCCACCACGCCCAGCCAGAAATGTTTTAATCTTGAATACCAGTGTATAATTTAATATTACTTAATATTAATAATTTACTATTATTCAAGCCTGAGATAATCAACTTAACTTGTGCAAGATCAAGACCTATGAAGATTTAAGTCAGTATTAAATAGATCAAGAAAGCATTTAATTTCTTTATGAATGTCTATGTAACATATATGTATAATTTCTGAAACAAAGATTCAAATTGACTAATTTGACTAGGATTTTAATTTTAATGTTACTTTTGAAAGCATCAAATTTAAGTCTAAATCCAAAATGAATATAATGGAGAAAATACAGCCTAACACTGGTAAACAGATATTTAACAGTACCTATGACATGTATATAAACGTAGGCTTAATTAAGCATTCCATTCCAGAAATAAATTAATTCATAATGTATTTTTAGTAAAGGAACGTACCAATTCTTTTACTCTGCTCTTCTCTAGGTTGAAGTCTAATTTGGTATCTGTTCGGACTTTGATCATTTCATCCTAAAAGGAAGGCAAACAACAAAGGAGAAATCCAAAGTAAGAAACTCAAACTCTCTGAGGACATGACAGCAGGACCACTGCCCCCACTGTCCCTATCCTAGGGGAGGCAGCCCAGGGAAGGACAGAGCCAGGGGCTTCCAGAGAAATGGACCTAGGCCTCCTGGCATCAGGGAACTCTGGCCAAGCCACATCTGGAGCCCATCCCAGGACTTCCCAGTTAGACACAAATAACCCCCTTCTATGCTTATGCCAATCTAGAGTGGGTTGTTGATGCCTTTTTTTTTTTTTTTTTTTTTTGAGATGGAGTCTTGCTCTGTCATCCAGGCTGGAGTGCAATGGCTCACTCCAACTTCTGCCTCCTGGGTTGAAGCAATTCTCCTGCGTCAGCCTCCCAAGTAGCTGGGATTACAGGCGCATGCCACCACGCCCTGCTAATGTTTGTATTTTTAGTAGAGATGGGGTTTCACCATGTTGGTCAGGCTGGTGTCGAACTACTGACCTTGTGGTCCACCCACCTAGGCCTCCAAAAGTGCCGCATTACTGGCGTGAGCCTTCGCGCCCAGCCTGTTGCTGCTTTTAACCTCAAGACTCCTCATACAATCTCTGAATGGAACTTATGAATAAAGCTGATCTTAAACACCCTTGGAAAGCAAAGATGGACTCAAAGCAGCCAAATATTAAAATCTGGTTTACACAGAGCCTTTTCTCTGATACACATCAAAGTCTTTTTTTTCTTTAACATCTATGTTTTTGCTATTTAAAAAAACATCAAATAGCTGGCACAGTAAGCATTTAAAAATCATGTGTGTTTCTCTAAAGACAGTCTAAGAGAATTTAAGAGTTCCTTCCATACAGCTACTTTGGAAAAACTTTGACTTAAAAATGACTTAATTCCTCCTAGAATACAATTTTTTTTTCTTTTCTTTTCTTTTTTTTTTTTTTGAGACAGAGTTTCGTTCTTGTTGCCAAGGCTGGAGTGCAATGGCGCAATCTCAGCTTACTGCAACCTCCACTTTCCAGGTTCAAGTGATTCTCCTGCCTCAGTCTCCCAAGTAGCTGGGATTACAGGCGCCTGCCACCATGCCCAGCTAATTTTTGTATTTTTAGTAGAGACAGGGTTTCACTATGTTGGCCAAGCTGGTCTCGAACTCCTGACCTCAGGTGATCCACCCGCCTCAGTCTCCCAAAGTGCTGGGATTACAGGCATTAGCCACCGTGCCCGGCCACAATTTTCTTAATGAATATGGTTATACACAACAGTAATTCATTCATTGGCTGTGTTCTTAGCTAAATCTTCCAGTGTATACTTTTGAGGCATATTACATAAACATTTCACATAGAATTAAAGTTTCAAAAATATCCATTTCTAATATTATACTTATTAATAAGTTTATATAATTACAAACAAGCCAACAAACAGGAAAGTGAATCTTACCATTACTTGTTGTTTTAACTGATGTAGTTCGAGTTTTATTTTCTAAAAACACATTAAAAAAATAAGTCTTTAGAAAGAACAGCATAAAATGCAGTAATCAACAAATATTACAATATGTATTTATGCACAAGTTCTTCAAGTTTTTCCTCCATTCAGAACACCGTATTGATTGCAGAATGGCATTACAACACATGTATCCTGAAATAAGTTTGAATTCATCTTGAAGGCTACGTAAAGTTAACTCAGTTGTGTTTGGCATACACATTTGCCTTCAGTGGCCCTGCTTTATTTAGTATCTCCGTCAGTTTATCTTTTAACCAATTCTACCCTCAATTAACTGATTTCAAGGACAACCTAGAGAATCTGAAACTTTACCACTTTACTTTTTGCTAGAAGGTTTCTTACAAGGCTAGGGTCAACAGGCAATAAATGGCCTTCCCTATGGGACTTTACAAATGACTGAAAATCAAAGACGCAGAGAGAGCACTTATTTACATGCTGATCCCATATGCTCTATTTAAAGGAATGCAAGAGAGATTTTGCAGCAGCAATTATTCAAAATAACCAAAAACTGGAAATAATTCTAATTTACATTACAATAGAATGATGGGGGCATATTCACGTAAGACTACAGACAATGAAAAAAGTGATCTCTTGCTACAGGACACACAGCATGATACCATCAAATGGTTCTAGAATAGGCGAAACTAGTCAATGGTGTTATCAGCCAGGACAGTTTCCTCTGCGGCAGGGGCAACTGAGAGGCATGAGAAGGACTTCTGGGACACTGGTCAAGTTTTCCTGCTCGATCTGACTGGAAGTACACACTGTATGAAAATTCACTGAGATGTACACTTATGTGAGATCTTTTATGTGTATATATTTTATCTCAATGTCTTCATATAATCAACTTTCTAAGTGTGAGTGGCTGTTTTACCTCATTTTCTGCTCTGAGGGCTGAAAATTCACTCTTCTCCAAAATAATCATATCCTTTTTCACATTCGCAATCTGAGACATTATTTGCTGAAAAGTGATTTCCTGGGAAAAGAAAAACACAACACATAATCTAGTCTACCGTAAAAAGTCCACTTCCTATCATCTCAATGTGCTATCTTCTCATTGAGAAACCAGGAGAATGTGGACACAAGAAGAGGTTCAGTGAGGTCATCCTTTATTCCAAAACAGGAAAAGGAAAAGGAAAAAAAAAAAATACATATCTGGCCAGGCAAGGTGGCTCACACCTGTAATCCCAATACTTTGGGAGGCCAAGGTAGGAGGATTGCTTGAGCCAAGGAGTTCGAGCCCAGCCTAAGCAACATGGTGAAACTCCATCTCTACAAAAAGTACAAACATTAGCCAGTTGTAGCAGTGCACACCTGTAGTCCCAGCTACTTAGGAGGACTGGTGGTCAAGGCTGCAGTGAGCTGAGACTGTACCACTGCACCCCAGCCTGGATGAAAGAGTGAGACCCTGTCTCAAAAAAAAAAAAAACCCAAAACACAAAAAAAACAAAAACCACATATCTGGTTATCGTTACCAAGTGAATCACAGCTAAAAGGGTGGTGATCTGAAGACTTGAGAACACGATGCTGTCATACTGTAATTCAGGCCATGTCTCCATTTATTAAAGTATATTTCACTGGAATAATTTTGAACAGTGAGCTTTCAAGCATAACAATTCTACAACTGTTGACTAAATAGCTCTGAGTAAGTATTTTTTATGCCACTGTAATCTTTTGCCTCTTCATCATGGTAAAAGTTACTATATACTTTTCAACTGGGTATTATCTAAAAAATTACATTAAAACATTACTACAAACAATACCCCATCCTCACAGTCCTAATGTGCTAAGCCACCCGACAAGGCTAACCTGCTGCATCTTGGTGACCATATCTTTGTAGACGACGTCCATGTTGGCTTCCAGGATCTTGACCAGCGCAGACACAATGATTTCTGCTTGTTGAGTAGCAAACCCTAAGCAAGCACACAGGCAAAAAAAAATCATGCTCAGAGTTACAAAAGCCCACAGCAAATGCACACATTCATGTGAATGTCCGAATCCAGGAGCAGGGGTACAGCACAGTGTGGTAGGAGGCAAGGAGGAGGGCCGGGCCACAAACTACCACGTGCTGGTCACTCAGAGCAAGGACGAAACAAGCTGGCTTCCCCAAGTACCGGTGGCTTTGCTGACTGGTTTGTAAGTCCTTCCTCGCTATCAAAAGTCACGTTTTCAGAGACTATTTAATGACATAGACAATGTCGGCAAGTCCAATGTCAAGTGAAAAAAGGCAAGACTCAAAATTACAGATGCAATTCTTGTTTTTATAATTTAACAAAGATTCATAGTAATTTTTGTTTTCTTCTTTATGTTTCTCTGCATTATGTAGATTTTCTATGGTGGACAATATTTCTTTAATTTTGTAATGTGTACGTTATTAAAAAATAATTTCCTTAAATAAGAAAGCTCAGCTGTTTTATGTCTAGCATAAGGCAGTCAAATCATTGACTATATAGTCCTCTAGCCGTTGGCTAACTTAATGTTAAAAGACAAAATCCGTTCTTTCATTTTTCCTGCACAATTCTCTTCAGTAACCAGTCTGGGGGACCCAAAGTGGAAAAAATATGTTCTTTGGTATTCCGTCAATAAATGGTACTGAATTGAATGATTAGAGGATTCAATGCAGTACTTGCTTTTTTTTTTTTTTTTTTTTTTGAGACAGAGTTTTGCTCTTGTTGCCCAGGCTGGAGTGCAATGGCATGATCTCAGCTCACAGCAACCTCCACCTCCCAGGTTCAAGACATTCTCCTGCCTCAGCCTCCGGAGTAGCTGGAATTATAGGCATGTGCCACCATGCCCAGCTAATTTTGTATTTTCATTAGAGATGAGGTTTCTCCATGTTGGTCAGGCTGTTCTCGAACTCCCGACCTCAGGTGATCCGCCCGCCTTGGCCTCCCAAAGTGTTGGGATTACAGGTGTGAGCCACCACACCTGGCCAGTACTTGGTACTGTTTTTAAAAACGTTGAGTAGTAACTCATATTTCACATAAATTCTAATTAAATGCTTAAAACTGAGTGCCTGGGAAACAGTTCTATTAAATGCTTCTAGCTATAAGAATTTCAGAAGAATCTATTGATTCCTGTAATTAATTGTGTATTGGAATAAAGTAGTACTTAATTAATGGAATTTGTTTGGATGAGATGAAGCATGGGACTATAATGAACAAAAAAACCAAAGACACAGATTTAAAGGAGAAGGAAAAAACCTCCAAAGACCTATTGCCATCACTTTCATCAAAATCCTTTAATTTTTCAACATGTGTGTTGTACACATGTCCAGGAAAAAAAATAAATAAAAGGTTACCCACCAAAATGTTAACACTGTTTAGCTCTGAATCTGTTTTCTTTTTTCTAGTCTGTCTTCCTAGTTTTTAAAAACTCAACCTAAACTTTTGTAAATTTTAAAGCTTTATTAAGAAGAGTTCACTGGCTGGGTGTGGTGGCTCACGCCTGTAATCCTAACACTTTGGGAGGCCAAGGCAGGAGGACCTTTGAGCCCAGGAGTTTAAAAAACCAGCATGGGCAACATAGTGAGATCCCATCTCCATTTTAATGTAAATAAAATTTAAAAATTTTTTTAATTTTAAAAAAAAGAGTTCATGTTTAAACATAATTAGTTTTGGCAGCTGGACACAGTGGTTCATGCCTGTAATCCCAGCACTTTGGAAGGCCAAGGAGGGTGGATCACTTGAGGTCAGGAGTTTGAGACCAGCCTGGCCTACATGGTGAAAATCCGTCTCTACTAAAAATACAGAAAAATTATGCAGGTGTGGTGGTGTAAGCTTGTAATCCCAGCAACTCAGGAGGACCAGGTGGGAGGATCGCTTGAAACCAGGAGGCGGGGGTTGCAGTACGCAGGACTGTACCACTGCACTCCAGCCTGGGCGAAAGAGTGAGACTGTCTCAAAAAAAAGAAAAAGGAAAAGAAAAATAAAGGTAGAAAGAGAACTTATGTTGATTGTAAAACAAACCCTAAAGCCATATACTTTATAACCACTTGTGGGAGAAGAAAGGGATAAGAAAAAGTGGAAATGTGAAAACCTACTGAGTTATGAGGCAGAAATTAATCTTTTGTAGACACGAGGGAATAGGACAGAACCAGGGTCAGTGAGATCACAGGCATATGAGAAATTCTGTTAATCTGAAGACACAGGTCTGGTAAAGGGTAGAATATGCCTTAAAAAGTCCTTCCTGGCCTCCTACTCAGCCAGTCATCTCAGACACCCGCCCCATTCATCCATGTTGGATTGAATAGCCCCTCCACACCACGTACTGCAGTGCGGTCCTCACACCACAGTCTTGAAAGATGCAAATAATCATGGGTTAAGGTTTAAAATCAAGAAAACTAGGAAGACTTCTGCTTATCAATTTTTTTGTTTGTTTGTTTTGTTTTGGTACAGACAGGCTCTCACTATGTTACACAGACTGGCCTTGAACTCATGGGCTCAAGCGATCCTCCCGCCTCAGCCTCCTAAAGTGCTGAGATTACCGGCATGAGCCACCTCGCCTGGCCTTATCAGAGTAACTTTATATGCTCCCCTCTCACTTCTACTTTTCTCTTTTAAATTCTGAACTGAAAGAAGTTTTGGCAAAAAAAAGCCTACTGTTTGACAGGAAAAGTCAAAATTATTACACAGCATATGACACTTTTTCCAAAGTTCATTCATGCATATTATCTTGTTTAATATTCAAAAAGATCTTTGGAATTCTTATTACACTCATACTACAGATGGGCAAATAGAAACAGAGAAGGGGAGAAAGGCTTCCTACGCTATGCGACTAGAAGTCTGCAGAGTTAGGCTCGAGCCCAGAGCCGCTCTCTCCCACAAAGCACAGAATAACTCATTCCATCACTTTGTCTTAGGCATGTAAAGCACCTCTACAGAGAACAGCTTTTCTGACACAAACATGTATAACTGGACAAATAACTACACAATGAACTAAAAACACAGGGAGATTTATTTCACAAGCACAATTTACACTATTTTGAAATTCTGATTTTTGAGAATGTGTCACCATATAGAGAATTATAATCAGCGTATTTGTCTAAATATGATTTAGTACGAGAATCTTCCCTACATTCTAAGTCTAAAGTGCATTTTCAATGAACGCCATATATACCAGAGCAATCTTTTTTACCTTAACAGCAATAAGGGAGAATGTCAGCCTGACTATTAAAAAGAAAAAAGAGGACCAGGTACGGTGGCTCACGCCTGTAATCCCAGCACTTTGGGAGGCTGAGGCGGGTGGCTCACAAGGTCAGGAGTTCGAGACCAGCCTGGCCGACATGGTGAAACCCCAACTCTACTAAAAATACAAAAATCAGCTGGGCATGGAGGCACTTGCCTGTAATCCCAGCTACTCAGGAGACTGAGGCAGGAGAATTGCTTGAACCCAGGAGACAGAGGTTGCAGTGAGCCGAGATTGTGCCATTGCACTCCAGCCTAGGTGACATGGCAAGACTCCGTCTCAAAAAAAAAGGAGAAAAAAGAAAAAAGAACAGTAAGTTGAAATTATCAAGAACTGCTACTTGACAACATTGCCATTTCACAGGATTTTAAAAAGCACACAAGATGCACAGTAATAAAACTATCACTTCTGTGCTTCAGACACTGTTGTCATAGGAATCATTCCTCAGCTTTGCTGACTTGTGTCTAAATTTTTACCTATAACACTGTACTTCCATGGTGATGTTACAGAAATACACTTCACTTTGAAAAAGAGATAATGTGTGAGAAAAGTCTCCAGTGTATTGATGAAACAAAAATGTCCTCAAGCAAAAAATGAGGACTTAAAAAATGGAGATTAATTAAAAGATTACCCATAGGCTTGAAAGTCAAAGAGATATAAAAATCACCCAGACGTGGTGGTATGTGTCTGTAGTCCCAGCAGCTCTGGAGGCTGAGGTGGGAGGATGGCTTGAGCCTGGGAGGTAGGTTACAGTGGGCCAAGATTGTGCCACTGCAATCCAGCCTAGGTAACAGAGCCAGACCCTGTCTCTAAACAAATAAATTAATTAAATTAAATACAAATAAAAAATAAAAGTCAAAGAGAAGTATGAGAAACTAAATGAAACCACAAGAGAAGTCATAATTTAAAGTGTTTTTCTAAGGCACTAAATGGCAAATGAGAGAGGATTACCATTGTCTTCCAGTAAGCACACTAAGGCATGAGTGTCAAAGTAGAGCCTCCTACTCCCAGAAGAGGTGAAATCTCTCCTTCTGCGCTCCAGCTGCAGGTGTCCAGCAGACAGGCTTAGCTCTAGGGTGGAAAGGACAGTAAGCTCAAAACAGACTTAATGCAAAACAGAAGCAACTCAGCATCCTGAGAAAGTAAGGCATACCCCAAAGCCTACCTGGTATTTTATAACAGCTTCACTGAGATATACCATTCACCCAATTTCAAGCATACAATTCAATAGGTTTTGGCACAGAGTTGTGCAAGCATCCCACAATCAAATTTAGAATACTTTTTCACTCTCAAGACAAACTGTACCCCTTAGCTGTCACCTTCCAATTCCCCCAGCCCTTCTCCACTGCCCCCAACCATACCCAGGACAAGCACTGGTCTATTTGCTGTCTCTTCTGTTTATCTACTCTGGAGATGTCACAGAAACTGAATCATATAATATATATAGCCTTTTGTGACTGGCTTCTTAGCATGTTTTCAAGGGTCATCCATGTTGTAGCACGTCAGTACTTTCATTTCTTTGTTTAGTTGAATACTCCTCCCCTGTATAGCTATATTAAATTTTGTTTATCCATTTATCAGTTGGAAGATGCTTGGGTTGTTTCTACTTCTTAGCTATTATGAATTATATGGACGTTATGTTTTCAATGATCTTGAGTGTACACTTAGGAGTAGAATTGCTGGATCATATGATAACTCTATGTTTGTTTCAGCAGCCGCCAGACTGTTTTCCAAAGCAGCTGTACCATTTTACACCCCCTCTAGCAGCACACATGGGTCCCAACTTCTCCCCATCCTCACGAATCCTTGCTATTATCTGGGTTTTTTAAAAATTACAGTTACCCTATTGGGCGTCAAGTGGTATCTCACTGTGGTTTTAATTAGCATTTCCCTGATGACTAATGATGTTGAGCATCTTTTTATGGGCTTGCTGGCCATTTGGATATCTTCTTTGGAGAAATGTGTATTCAAGTCAGCTATGGTTTGAACGTGTTCCCCAAAGTTTATGTGTTGAAAACTTAATCCCCAACACACCAGTGTTGAGAGGTGGGTCCTTTAAGAGGTGACTAGGCTATTGGGAAGGCTCTGTTCATGAATGGATTAATGCTGCTATCTCAGGGGTAGGTTTCTGATAAAAGAATGAGTTTGCCACCCCTTCCCTGACATGTGTGCTGTTCTGCCTTCCGCCATGTTATGAAGCAGCAAGAAGGGCCTGGCCAGATGTGGGCCCCTCAATCTTCAACTTTCTAGCCTCCAGAACTGCAAGAAATGTATCTCTTTTCTTTATAAATTACCAGTCTGTGTTATTCCCTTACAGCAGCACAGAACAGACTAAGGCAAAGTCCTTTGCTCATTTTTAATAGGGCTGTCTTCCTATTACTGAGCTGTAAGAGTTCTTTATATATTCTAGATACAAGCTCCTTATCTGATTATGATTTGAAAATATTTTCTCCCATTCTGTGGGTTGTCTTTTCACTTTTTGATACTGTCTTTTGAAGCACAGAAGTTTACTTTTGATGAAGTCCAACCCATCTGTTTTTCCTTTTGTTGCTTGTGCTTTTGATAACACATGTATGAAACCACTAAGAAATCCAAGTACATGAAGATTTACACCCATATCTTCTAAGAGTTTTACAGTTTTAGCGCTTACATTTAGGTCTTTTACTCATTTTGGATTAGTGTTTTAAATGGTGTGTGGTAGTGAGTTCAGCTTCATTCTTCTCCATGTGGGTATCTAGTTGTCTCAGTACCATTCCTTCCGCTGAAACGTCTTATCACTCTTGTTGAAAATCAGTGAGCTGTAAGCATGAGGCCTTGTGTCTGGGCTCTCCACTCTAATGCATTGATCTATATGTCTGTCCTTATGCCAGTGCCACAATTTCTTGATTACTTGTAAGTCTGTTTTAACTTTGACATCAGAAAGTGTTTGTTGTTGTTGTTGCTCTTCATTTTTTTTTTAAGGCAGGGTCTCGCTCTATTGCCCAAGCTGGAGTGCAGTGGTGCAATCATAGCTTACTAGAGACTTGACCTCAGCCTCCCAAGGTGTGGGTTTTAAACTTTGTTGTTTGTCAAGGTTGTTTGGTTATTCTTGTTTTCTTGTATTTCCATATGAATTTTAGGATCTGTGTGTCAATTTCTATAAGAAAACCACTTGGGATTTTGATAGGGATGTGTTAAATTTGTAGATCAGTATGAAAAGTACTGCCACCTTAATATTAAGTATTCAGATCAATGAAAATGGATGTCTTTCCATTGATTTAGGAAAATTATACTTTAATGTACATTAGACTTTAAGTACATTGCACTTTTTATATGTTGCTGGATTTGGATTGCTAGTATTTTGTTAAGGATTTTCTCATTTTTAATCATAAGAGATATCAGTCAAGAGCATTCTTTTCTTGTAATGTCTTTGCAAAAGTCTATCTTTAGAGAGCTATTTTCCAGCAATTTTTACATTACCTTTTCTATAAATTTTTGTGCAGTTAGCCTAGATCCAATCGATTTTGTAAACTTCTTGTTTGAAGGTACTCATCTAAGGGAGATGGTATAGTATATGGTTTAGTTTCTTGGCTTTTAGATTTTATGAATTGCTAAAATCATTTTTTTTTTAATTGGGCCAAGTGAACTAGTTCATGGTTGTAAATCTAATACTTTCAGAGGCCAAGGTGGGAAGATCACTTGAGGCCAGGTATTCGAGACCAACCTGGGCAACACTGCAAGACCTTGTCTCCAGAAAAAAAAAAAAAAAATTAGCAGAGCGTGGTGGTATGTGCCTGTAGTCTCAGCTACTCCTAGCTACTTGGGAGACTGAGGCAGGAGGATGGCTTGAGCTCAGGAGTTTGAGGCTGCAGTGAGCTATGACTGCACCACTGCACTATAGCCTGGGTGACAAACGAAGATCCTGTATCTAAAACAAAAATATTAAAAGGTCGGGCACGGTGGCTCTCGCCTGTAATCCCAGAACTTTGGGAGGCTGAGGCAGGTGGATCATGAGGTCAGGAGTTCAAGATCAGCCTGGCCAAGATGGTGAAACCCCGTCTCTACTAAAAATACAAAAATTAGCCATGTGTGGAGGCAGGCACCTGTAATCCCAGCTACTCGGGAGGCTGAGGCAAAAGAATTGCTTGAACCCGAAAGGCGGAGGTTGCAGTGAGCCGAGATTGTACCACTGCACTCCAGTCTGGGTGACAGAGCAAAACTCCATCTCAAAAAAAATAATAAAAATAAAAAATAAAATAAAACAATATTTGAGTTGCCAATTTTTAATTATCATGAAAGAACATTTAAATATAGCTGCTTACTACTATTAAATATTATACTAAAAAAGAAATTATGACACCAACAGAAAAAAAAAAAGATGAACAATCTATAGAACTTCCATTTAATCCACTTAGTATATGAAAATCTTGCTACATATTTGTCACTCCTTTTCAAATTTTGCCATTAACTGGCACCAGTCTGAGGTCTGGTGTTGTAGAAGACTGGCAGGAGCAAGAAGGGTCACCCGCCAACTCAAAGGTCAAAAGTTTCCCCAGCAGGCCTCTGAATGACCAGAGAGATGCTGCAGCTGATCAGCTTCCATTGTCAGTCCTTCGCCCTTGATTACCCCACAATAAAATCGAGAGTAAACAAAAATGTGATGTGGACTGAACCCTACAGATCTCACACTTCGCTGCAGCCTATGGAAGTCATTCCCAGCCTACTCACAACTTGGGAAGAGGAGAGTAACTGTGGACATTGTAAGCATCAAGATGAGAGCAAGAGATGCAATAATCCATATCTGTATCAAGAACCATTTGCAGACTGACAAAATATAAAGTGCAATGACTTATGTGTGTTTGTATGTGTTTGTTGGTAAAACTGGGCCCTTAGATTCGAAGAACCACTGTGCTATGACACGAGGTCCTTGACCTGGCATACAAAGCCTTTGCTATTTATGACCACACTTATCCTTTCAGCTTTCTTTCTAGCAACCTAAGCTATTCTATTTCCTGCAATTCCATGCTTAAGAACGGCTTGCTCCCCTTTCCCAACTGTTAAACTTTAAGCATTCTTTTTACCTTTCTTCATTAAATTGCCAATTTACTGAGTATACATTATGTTTCAGATGTGGCATTTTCTTTTTTACATTTTATGGTTCTCTCTGCTTCCTCCACCCAGCTAAGGGAGCAACCTTTATTACTCCCATACCTGTGTTCTCAGTTCAGTACAGATAGCTCATCATAGCACTTAATACCTTATTTCCTCATCTGTATTATCTATTTGCCCAAGCTGCCCAGGAGCAGCCAGTCTTGCTCATTTTTTATCTTTAGCATCTGGCAAAGGGTCTAGCATACAGCAGGCTAGGAATATATATGTGTGTGTGTGTGTGTGTATATATAAGTGTATATATATACACATATGTGTGTGTATATATATATAGTAATTGAACTGTAATGACTTCTACAATCTGGATTATGAAACTGTCTAGAGGGAAAATTTGAAATGAATTCCTTTCTCCTCAGTTCTTCCCTTTTCACACAAATGAGCTCACTTAAATCTGGTATCTCTTTTTTAGTTTATTTCCAGTCCTGAGACAGAAACTGGCCTCCATAAGAAGAGACCCAGGATGTCTGCCCAACACAGAAGAGACCTAGCTTGAGAAAGTGGGAGTGAATGAATGAAAGCACTTATCTAAGGGACCTCTTAAGGATCACCTCACCTGCCCTAGAACTCTATTGGACTGTCCCATGTGTCAGGGAACTTGAAAACACCTGAGTCTGGACTGGCTTGTGAAGAGTGACAGAGTTACTCTAGACCCAAATTCCTTGTTTCTAGTAAGAAAATTACCATTCATGTATTTAGAACATAACCTCTTCATCCCCACTCCCACATAAACAAAACAATCACATGACTACTTTGTAACGCCAATTTAGATACTATAGTTTTTTGTTGTTCTTTTTCAGAAAGATTGGAACCAGAAACAGCAAGCTTATTTCCAAGAAATCCTGCCTCTGAAAAGTCAACAGAAGGGCTGGCCACTTCCCAGTGGGCACTCCAACCCCTGCTGAGGGAAGGATATGCCCTCTTGCCTTCTGTCAAAGGGCAGTACCTGAGGACGCCGCCTACTCCTAGACTCCTCACTGATCATAAGGAAGTGAGTCAACTGAGCTGTGTTAACGAGTAACATGCAATTCCCCTTTCTAGGGACTTTCAGCATATCAAGAGGATATTAAAAACCCACAATTACAATAGAGGCCCAAAGTTAGCCTTGGACAGAATGTGGAAACCAAATACAAACTTCCTACTCATGATATCCTTAAGTAGCCCAATTGAGAACCTCAGGTACCAAGCAAACAAGTGGTTGGGAAATGCTCATTAGCTGGTTAATGAGCATACACCCCTCCTTAGCTGTGTCCCTGCTCTGCTTCTGTTTTTATGCATCCATACTTATTTTTTATGATGACTGAAGAATGAGATCGCTGACACTAAAACAACAGTACCACCTTACGGATTGGTCAGCAAATCCATGAGAAAGAACACTCTCTTTTTACCCCATACTCTTGTATTGAGAGAAAAACAAATTGGAAATTACTAGCTTGTCAGAAAAAGCACAACAAAGGGCACAATACAGAAATAAAGACCAAACTCATCTCCGACTCCTAATTTCTGAAGGACAGTGGCACCGAGTTCACTACTCATTCCCCACTCTGTATATACAGTTTCGTTCACTTTATTGCTCTACTAATCAGTTTTTACCCCAGCCAATGGTATTCTTAAATTTTAGATATAGTCAACAGCTGCTGGGCCTATCTGTTGAATAGGAAAAATGTGTGGTTAGTGATGGCTACTAATGAACATGTATAGACTGCCCAAAGTGATAATTTTGCCAAGTCTGTTGATTATTCGAAATGATTTTTTTCTTTAATCAACAATATGCTATCTAATAAGTTGATCTTGTTTACTTCCCTCATCTCCAGGGCAGTGATCTCTCTCACCTCCTTTTTAAATAGTCATGCGCCCCACAACTGCCTTTCAGCCCAGGACAGAGGGGCACACACGACAGTGGCCTATGGGACTATAATACATATTTTTACTGTACCTTTTCTATATTTAGATGCGCAAATACGATTGTGTTCAGACTGCCTCTAGTATCAGTACAGTAACATGCTGTTCAGGTTTATAGCCTAGGAGCACTAGTCTCTACCTGCTAGTCTAGCTGTGTAGTAGGCTGTAGCATCCAGGTTTGTGTAAGCACACCCTACAATATTCACACAAGGAAGAAGTCGCCTAATGACTCATTTCTCAGTAGGCGACTGTCCTGAAGGGATACAGACTCTATTTAATTAAATGCTACCTTCTCAATGAAATCGATTCTGATCACCCTATTTAAATTCACGACTGGAGACCATTCCACTTCCCAAGCCTTATCCTATAATTTTCCTGTACCATTTATCAAATTATGAATATATAAAATTATGTATGTATAAATTATATATACATTAATTATGCATACGTATATCCATACACATTTACTGCGTCTCCTCCGCCAGAATTAAGCTCCACAGGGAAAACATTTTGTGGACTGACATATCCTACACATCTGGAAAAGCGCCAGGGACAGGGTAGACGCTAGGACTCCACGAATTAATGATTCCATCAGAATTTGAAATCAAACTGTAAAGCCATCCCTTCAATTCTCAGAGCTTTGTTCCCCAGACATACCCACCCCTTCCCCTTGAGCGGCCAACAGGCTGCGCCCTGCCAAACAGAACGCCTGGAAGGCGGTGCCCAGAAGCGGACCCTAGGAGTAGGCGGGCACCACCTCCCCGCCCCAGCACGCACCTCCCTCCAACTTTAGCGCCCGGGATTCCCAGGAATTCGTCTCTTCTGGGCTAAGCCCCGCCACCGCGGCCGAGCAAGGCGGGCCCGGACCTTCGCCCCACAGTCCGGGCAGATGCCGGTGCCCTTGGCTGACCCGCCCTTCGGCCTGCCAGGCCTTTCCTCGGGATGGCTGTAGCTGAGGTCCCCGCCCCGCCTAGCCCCGCGAGACCAGCCCCCTCTCCTTTCCCACCCAGGCCTCACCTCTCCTGCAGGAAACGAGTGCAGGCGCCGGGCCTTTGCACTGGGGAAGGGCGCCGGCGGCAGCGGCGACGCCCAGACCGAGGCCCGGTGGGCACCTCCACGCGCCGCTGCGCCCGGCCGGGGGTGCGGCATACCCGAGGCGGGACCGCTCCCAGTCCCCTAGCTGCCGGCGCGGGGCTGCGGCGGCCAAGCGCGGGGAGGGCACTAGCAGGAGGAGGAGCAGCGGCGAGGCACGTGACACGCAGCCGCGGGTCGCCGGGGCGCGAGGGCGCAGCGCCCCCAGACCGTCGGAGAGCGCAGAGAAGCAGCGGCGTGCTGAGGTTCCGCTGCCTCCGGGTCTTCCGCTGAGGCCCGCGGGCAAGAACAGAAGCCTCCGATGGCCGGGCAGGCGCTGGGTCCTTTGGCCGCCGACCAAGCCGCAGTCCATCCCCGAGCCCTTCACTGGCCCGGGCGCGCGCTCGTGCCTCTCGCTCGCGGCGCCGGTCACGCGCGGTCCCGGCCCAGAGTCGGACGGCTGGAGCGAGCGTGGGCGGCAGCGCAGGCACGCCCTTTCCTGCCGGGCGCGCGGGTGGGGCTCGGGACGCGCGCCCGGGGCGGGGCGGCGGGAGCTTGCGGTGGCTTTCTGGGACGCGGGGCCCAGCCGGTGTGGCTAGTCTCGGGGCGCTGCGGGGACCGTGCGAGCCCCCGCCCCATTCGCTAGGCGACGGCAGCGACCGGGAGGAGCCTGCGGGCACTCCGGAACTGGAAGGAGCTTGTTGCTGCGACGATTTGCATATTCACTGCACTGCTGTCCTTATAAAGGAATTAATTACTCCGGCGCCCTTCAGAGTCCTGTGAAAAGTCCCAGACCAACAGGCTGCCCTAGATTTCACTGATTATCCTAAGTTCCCCAACATGTGGTTCTGGGGAGCATTTTAAGGAATTATTAGCAGGGCCCAGGGAAAGGCCCTCACATAATTCAAAACTAAATTTTCAGAGTTTTTGTTTCCAGATTAGAGCACCAAAAACATGGGAAGGTCGCAGTCTGGGAACTTAAAACGTGGGGCATGATTGTTAAAATGAGACCTGTCAGGTATATTTGAAACTGATAATGTTTAGTTTCGTGGACTTTTTGAAGGCCTGTTACACCATTCACAGATAACTGGTCCCTTACGTGAACTTGGAAGATGTTAGTTGAATGAATAAATGAAATGCATAAGGCATCAAGCCAGAGATTTTATTAAAAATAAAAAAAAACCCAAAACAAATTGTTCTTATCCTCCAGAAGCTGTTTTCCTATACAGCCATATGTGTACACATACGTGATGGAAGAACAATGTGTTATGAGCCATGAGAGATGTACAAAGTGCTGGGCAGAGAGGAACGTGCACGTGGATGTGAAAGATAAGTGTCTATCAAAATTTGAAGAACTAAACAGGATTCAAGTCATAGGTTGGTGCAAAAGTAGTTGCGGCTTTTGCCATTGCAAGTATACTTGCAACTACTTTTGCACCAACCTGAGAGACACTTTTGTAAAAGGAGTATACATTTATAAAACTGGTAGAAAAAGCAGTTTAGCAATGAGTATCAACAAAATTTGTAAACTTTTCTCAAGTCACATAACTAAAAATGGGGATAATGGGAATAATCCAAAATATTAAAAATCTACTAGGTTTGACCATACAAACTTGTCATTTTTAAGGGTCAAAAGGTTTAATATTGGTAATTTCACATATGCACAAAAGATAGTCATTGTATCATAATTTGTGATTGGGAAAAAATGGGAAAAACTAGTGCACAACATTAGAGGAACAACTAAACTGTGGCCCAAACTTTAATGTTAGTCCTTTGTAATTTTTAAAAATTGAGGTATAATTTGCATACAATAAATTCCACAGACCTATATGTTGAACGTGATGACATTTAGCAGTTGTATACACCACCCAGTCAAGATCTAGAACATTTTCATTGCTCCAGAAAGTTATTTTGTGCCAGTTTTCCAGACAATCCACCACCACCCCATGGCAACTATTTTCCTTTCTTTTGTTTTTTTTTTTGAGATGGAGTCTTGCTCTGTCGCCCAGGCTGGAGTGCAGTGGCGCAATCTCAGCTCACTGCACCCTCTGCCTGCCGGGTTCAAGCAATTCTCTTGCCTCAGCCTCCCGAGTAGCTGGGATTACAGGTGTCTGCCACCACGCCTGGCTAATTTTTGTATTTTCAGTAGAGATGGGGTTTCACCATATTGGCCAGGCTGGTCTCAAACTCCTCACCATGTGATCTGCCCGCCTCGGCCTCCCAAAGTGCTAGGATTACAGGCGTGAGCCACTGTGCCCAGTCAACTATTTTCAAATTTCAATGACCATAGATTAGTTTTATCTTTTCTTGAATTTCATATAAATGGAGACCTACAATACGCACTGCCTTGTGTCTTTCTTCTGCTTTGCATCTGACTTCAATATCAATGAGATTCATCCATGCTGTTGTATCAGTAAGTAGTTGCTTTTAATTGTTGAACAGTATTCCATTGTATGACCATACCACAAGTGGTCATCCATTCTCCTATTAATGGCCATTTGCTTTGTTTATAGTTTTTGGCTATTATGTATAGGGCGTTATGAACATTCTTGTTTAAGACCTTGTGTGTACATACATTTTTATCCCTCTTAGGGAAAGTACTGGGTCAAATTGCTGAATTATATGGTAGCTTAACTTTAGACACTGCTGAATTGTTTTTCCAAAGCAACTGCACTCTTTTACACTCTTAGCAATAGATGAGAGTTTCGGTTGTTCCACATTCTTGCCAAATTTTGGTATTTTCAGTCCTCATAGAATGGTGCCTTATTGTGATTTTAACATACATTTCCCTGATGCCTAATGATGTTGACTAACTTTTCATGTATTATTATTACCGGCCATATCGAATACAATAACATATGTAAAGCACTTAGCACAGTGCCTGGCCTATGATAGGAGTATAATGAATGTCAGTTCTAACTACAGGTTGGATAGCATCCACTTTTCCTTGGATATGACACCTATTGTTTTATTTTCCAAAGCATTCCCTTTCTTTTGGTCTCAGCACCCTAGTTTTCCATGGGCAGTCGCTCTTCTCCACTCTCAGTCCAAGCGGTTTGGAGGGACTGATTGCTCTGCAGACCACAGGCATGAGCATGTCACCCAATCAAAGTTAATGAGCAGCTGGGCGTGGTGGCTCACGCCTGTAATCCCAGCACTTTGGGAGACCAAGGCGGGCGGAACACTTGAGGTCGGGAGTTCGAGACCAGTCTAGAGAAACCCCGTCTCTACTAACAATACAAAATTAGCCGGTTGTGGTGGCACATGCCTGTCATCCCCGCTACTCGGGAGGCTGAGGCGGGAGGATTGCTTGAACCTGGGAGACGGAGGTTGTGGTGAGCTGAGATTGCACCATTGCACTCCAGCCTGGGCAACAAGAGCGAAACTCCGTCTAAAAAAAAAAGCTTCTATTCTAGGATTATTTGCTTGTTTGTTTGTTTGTTTGAGATGGAGTCTCACTCTGTTGCCCAGGCTGGAGTGTGGTGGCTCGATTTTGACTCACTGCAACCTCCAACTCCTGGGTTCAAGTGATTCTCCTGTCTCAGCCTCCCACGTAACTGGGATTACAAGCAAGCACCACCATACCCAGCTAATTTTTGTATTTTTAGTAGAGACAGGGGTTTCACCATGTTGGCCAGGCTAGTCTCAAACTCCTGACCACAAGTGATCTGCCTGCCCCAGCCTCCCAAATTGCTGGGAGTACAGGTGTGAGCCACCAAGCCCAGCCCAATTCTATGGTTCTTAATAGGAACTACTGGGAAGAGGTAGTCTTATTTTATTGTGATGTCTAGGTATAGGATGATTTGAACCATGAGCTCCTGGGGCTACCATGTGGCCTAAGACTGAAGCCATTATGGAGAAAAGAAGGCTGAGAAATGAAGAGACAGGTCCTTTTGAGTGTCTGATTCTAGCTTAGGCTGAAGTTGGCATTTTATTTATGTAATCCAATAAGTTGCTTTTGCTGAAACCAGCTGGGACAGGGCTTCTGATTCCTATCCCGGATACATTAGTATACATTAGGATAATCTAGACATGTTAGACTTCTGTCTATGTATAGAGAGACTAGATACAGGGATCTAATGGCCAATGAAGAAGAAGTATCAACTAATTAATGGATCAGGCAGGAGCCAGACAACCCCCATGTGAACCGTGACAAAGTTGGACTTTATGACAAAGTTGGATCGGTGAATATACTTGGATCTGGGGCCAAAGTGGGGCCCTCTTACTCTCTCTCCATATCTAAACTTAGGAATCTCCGATGAGTTAAGCTGGATTCACAGAGCAGACTGACTTAGCCACCATCTGTGAGAACTTTAGGTGGCCTTATATATTCTAGGTGTCATCAGGAGAAAAGAGATGGAAGATGACCAGAGCTATCCCTGAAAGATGCCCTGGGCCTGTTTTAGCAGGTAGTAACAGAAAGGTCAAGGGCTCATTGTCTCTGGTGCAAGCAGGTCAAAGAGAGAACAAAGGAGTTGGAACATTCCTGAACATTCCTGTGACTTTTAGCATACTGATACTCTTGCTAGTAAACACTGATGGGGGAATGTCAGCTTCCACTAATCAAATTACTATTCTCCCTAATAAGGATTTTCCTTCTGGGTAAAATGGAATAAGCACACCCCACCCTGTCTTTCCACCTGAATGCAGCCATAAAAGCTGGACAGAATGCACAGAGCAACTATTTGAGGACTCTGAAAAGTAAATAATAGCAGGTACCTCAGTGAAGAAGACAAAAATCAAAGTACCACAGAACTGATGTTTAGTTTAGTATTTTTTCCAATGTATGAGTTCCCCTAGCTTGAACTGTCAACCCAGAGTTCTATTACTAGCAAAAATATCCTTCAGTAATGAAGTGATGAAATAAAGACATCCTCAGATGAAGGAAAACTAAGAGGAATTGTTTTTAGTAAGCTTGCACTAAAAGAATTGCTAAAGGAAATTCACCATATAGTAGGGAAATGATACCAAGAGGAAACTTGGAGCATTAGGAATGAAGGACGAACAACAGAAATGGTGAACATTAAGATAAGTATAATATTCTTCTCCTCTTTAGTTCTTTAAGATATGTTAAAATGATGGAAAGCAAAAATTCAAACAATGTCTGGTGAAGTTTTTAATGTTTATAGATGTATATAATAACTACAACATAAAGGGGCAAGGATAAAGAGACCTATATGGTAGTGGAGTTTTCATATTGCACTTACAGTGGTAAAATATTGATTCTAAGTAGATTTAGAAAGGTTAAACATGTCTACTGTAATCCCTAGAGCAACCCATAAACATACTATATAAAGAGATATAGGGTGGGCACAGTGACTTATGCCTGTAATCCCAATACTTTGGGAGGCTGAGGTGGGAGGATGGCTTGAGGTCAGGAATTCAAGACCAGCCTGGGAAATATAGTGAGACCTTGCCTCTACGAAAGAAAGAAAAGAAAGAGAAGGAAGGGAGGGAGGGAGGGAGGGAGGGAGGGAGGGAAGGAAGGAAGGAAGGAAGGAAGGAAGGAA